TTTGTTGAAAAAATAGTGTCATTTGCTGGGCAAGGTGACTCGTGTCTGTAATCCCAACACTTTGGGAGGCTGAGACGGGAGGATTGCTTGAGCCCAGGAGTTCAAGGCCAGCCTGGGAAACACAGTGACACCTTGTCTCTACCAAAAATCAAAAAATGAGCTGGACATGGTGGTGTGCACCTGTAGTCCTAGCTACTTGGGAGGCTGATGTGGAGGGTCACGTGAGCCCAGGAGTTGGAGGCTGTGGTGAGCTGATCACATCATTGCAGTTCAGTCTGAGTGACAGAGTAAACTCTGCCTCAAAAAAAAAAAGAAAAAGAAAAAGAAAAAGAAAAAAGATGAGGCGTCTTTTGTCCTAAGGGGTTTTCTCCAGTCTGCATTCTAGTAATTGTATTCCCAGGCATCATTTATTGTGCCCCTCTGTCCTCTGCACTTTCTGTGAACGGCGGGCACATTTAGAGGCTTGGTCAGAGTCATGTTTGATTTCTGGGGTAAGGATACTCCCTGGGTGTGCTGTGTTCTTTTGCCAAGAAGCACACAATACCTGGTTGTCTCTGTATCATTAGTGGCTTTCTCTGGCCATTGTGTAGGTTCATTAACTTATTAGGAGTGCAGATGGCTTTCAGAAACATGAAAAGATGCCAGCCTCAATTATAATTTTAAAAATGAAATTTTCAAGTGAGTCCTATTTTTTTCACCTACCAGATTGATAAAGATCAAAGAGTGTTAACACGGGTGTCGGCAAGAGTGCAGAGGACAGGCAGTTTCACAGGATGGTGAATGTGACTACATCTGTGAAAATGACAAGTGCACACACCCTTCAGCCTAGCGGCTCCCCTTCTGGGAATTGGTCCTGTGAACACACACCCGTCCATGCAAAACCACGGACATCTGAGTGTGTTTGTTGCAGTATTGTCTGGATTAGCAACAGTCAGAACAACAAATGAAACCTCCCTCAAGCAGAGTCTCCCACGTGCTGTGCTGCAAAGTCCTCACGAGTTGCAGCAGACACATGGGTGGCCCAGCAACGTGCCATGGGGCACCCTCAGAGGTCGCATGCAGCTTTGGTGGACATTCTCCTTCTGGGACCAGGCATCTGCGTCCCCTCTGGCCACAGGTTTGTTTTACCCAAGCACTGGATAGGCAGGAAGTACTAAATGTCAAGGAGAAAACCTCGACCCAGCCCTTAGCCCAGAGGGAAGAGTGGGTGGATAATACCTGAGCATTCTTGCCCCTCATGATATAATCCTGAGGAGTGTCCTCCAGGCCTTTCAACGAGTCCCTGGGGAGGAGCTGCCTGAAGCAGCCATTCACCCAATATGGCACCCCACAGGGGCTCCTGTCCTTCACCTGCTTGGTTTACCACATAAACCCCTCGCACCTGAATCTATTTTAGGTTTTGCGTTGGGAGGAAACCTATGCTAAAAGAGTTTGCTGGAGGTTTGGCAGCACAGCCTAGTAAAATTTATAGCACGTACTATAAAAAAAACTACTTATAGCACCAGACACCATTTTTTTTTTTTTTTTTTTGAGTCAGAGTCTCACTCTGTCGCCCAGGCTGGAGTACAGAGGCACCACGTTCACGGCCACCACGGCCTCGACCTGCTGGGCTCAGGTGATCCTTCCGCCTGTCTTCCAAGTGGCTGGAATTACAGGTGCACGCTACCATGCCTGGCTTTTTTATCTTTTATTTTTTTGGTTTATTGTAGAGATGAGGTCTCACCAAGTTGCCCAGGTTGGTCTCAAATCCTCTCACCTCGGCCTCCCAAAATGCTAGGAATATAGGCGTGAACCACCACACCCGGCCTCTTCTATGTTACACAGCTCTGCCTGGTTCTAATTGCCTGGGAAGCAAGCAAACATCTGAAAGCTTGACATCTTTTCTTGTGTTCTGAACTCATTATTTTAAACCACCCAAAATGAAAAGGTTCCTTTGGATTGATTTGGAATCCACTTGATGATAAGAACTAGTAACATTATATGTGTCTATTAAAGAAAGGGAAGAACTGTTAGACTTTAAATATAATTTCAGTTGTAAGCTTTGGAACAGTTTTTCTTTTTATCCATTACTTGACATTACGAAGTCTCTTGATGCCTTGATGAGGAATTGTGTGAGCTATTTTTTTTTTTTGAGTCGAAGTCTCACTGTCGCCCAGGCTGGAGTGCAGCGGCACGCTCCCGGCCACCGCTGTTCGGACCTGCTGGGCTTCGGCGATTCTTCCGCCCCAGCCTTCCAAGTAGCTGGAGCCACAGACGCGAGCCACCACGCCTGGCTAATTTTTTGGTTTAGTGTAGAGACGAGGGCTCCCCAAGTTGCCCAGGCCGGTCTCGAACCCGCGGACAGGCAATCCTCTCGCCTCGGCCTCCCAAAGGGCGGGGACGACAGGCTTGAACCACTCCGCCGCTGAACAGCTACGAGACAGAAGCGCAGGCGGACACAGGCAAGCGGGGCAGTAGGCTACTTTCGTGCACAAAGGGGTTCAAAACACAGGTTCGGCTGCGCCCACGCGGGAAAGGCACCTGCGAAGCCTGCCGGCCTCCGGGGGCCTCGGG